ACAAAAAGAGCCTCAGTAAATTCAAAAAGACTGATATTCTACCAACCAATTTCTCAGATTGCAAAGATATAAAACTAGAAATAAATTGTACAAAGAAAGCAAAACAGCTCACAAGAAACACATGGAGGCTTCACAACATGCTCCTAAATAATCAATGGATCAATGACCAAATTAAAACAGATATCAAACAATATATGGAAACAAATGACAACAACAGCACAAAGCCCCAACCTCTGTGGGATGCAGTGAAGGCAGTTCTAAGAGGAAAGTATATAGCAATCCAGCCTATTTAAAAAAGGAAGAACAATCCCAAATGAATAGTCTAAAGTCACAATTATTGAAACTGGAACAAGAAGAAGAAATGAGGCCCAAAGTCAGCAGAAGGAGGGACATAATAAAGATCAGAGGAGAAATTTTAAAAATTGGGAAAAATAAGACAATAGGAAAAAATCAATGAGACCAGGAGCTGGTTCTTTGAGAAAATAAACAAAATAGATATAAACCCCTAGCCAGACTTACTAAAAGAAAAAGAGAATCTACACACATAAAGAGAATCAGAAATGAGAAAGGAAAAATCAGGACAGACATCATAGAAATACAAAGAATTATTAAGAAAACACTATGAGAATCTATACGCTAACAGGCTGGAAAACCTAGAAGAAATTGACAACTTCCTAGAAAAATACAACCTTCCAAGACTGACCCAGGAAGAAACAGAAAATCTAAACAGACCAATTACCAGGAATGAAATTGAATCGGTAATCAAAAAACTACCCAAGAACAAAACCCCCGGGCCAGATGGATTTACCTCAGAATTTTATCAGACATAGAGAGAAGACATAATACCCATTCTCCTTAAAGTTTTCCAAAAAATAGAAGAGGAGGGAAAACTTCCAAACTCAGTCCATGAAGCAAGCATCACTCTAATACCAAAACCAGGCAAAGATACCACAAAAAAAGAAAATTACAGACCAACATCCCTGATGAACATACTTGCAAAAGTACTCAACAAAATATTAGCAAACCGAATTCAAAAGTACATCAAGAGGATCATACACCATGTCCAAGTGGGATTCATTCCAGGGATGCAAGGATGGTACAACATTTGAAAATCCACCAACATCATCCACCACATCAACAAAAAGAAGGACAAAAGCCACATGATCATCTCCACAGATGCTGAGAAAGCATTTGACAAAATTCAACATACATTCATGATAAAAACTCTCAACAAAATTGGTATAGAGGGCAAGTACCTCAACATAATAAAGGCCATATATGACAAACCCACAGCCAACATAATATTTAACAGCAAGAAGCTCCAAGCTTTTCACCTAAGATCAGGAACAAGACAGGGATGCCCACTCTCCCCACTTTTATTCAACATAGTACTGGACATCCTAGCCATGGCAATCGGACAACACAAAGAAATAAAAGGCATCCAGATTGGTAAAGAAGTCAAACTGTCACTATTTGCAATGACATGATATTGTACATAAAACACACTAAAGAATCCACTCCAAAACCACTAGATCTAATATCCGAATTCAGCAAAGTTGCAGGATACAACATTAATACACAGAAATCTGTTGCTTTCCTATACACTAATGATGAACTAGCAGAAAGAGAAACCAGGAAAACAATTCCATTCACAATTGCATCAAAAAGAATAAAATACCTAGGAATAAACCTAACCAAGGAGGTGAAAGACCTATACTCTGAAAACTACAAGACACTCATGAGAGAAATTAAAGAAGATACCAATAAATAGGAACACATTCGTGCTCATGGATAGGAAGAATTCATATTGTCAAAATGGCCATCCTGCTTAAAGCAATCTACAGATCCAGTGCAATCCCTATGAAAATAACAACAACATTCTTCAACAAACTGGAACAAATAGTTCTAAAATTCATATGGAACCACAAAAGACCATGAATAGCCAAAGCAATCCTGAGAAGGAAGACTAAAGCAGGGGAAATCTCACTTCCCAACTTCAAGCTCTACTACAAAGCCACAGTGATCAAGACAGTTTGGTACTGGCACAAGAACAGACCCACAGACCAGTGGAACAGACTAGAGTCCAGGTATTAACCCAAGTATATATGGTCTATTAGTATATGATAAAGGAACCATGGATATACAATGGGGAAATGACAGGCTCTTTAACAGCTGGTGTTTGCAAAACTGGACAGGTACATGTAAAAGAACGAAACTGGATTACTGTCTAACCCCATACACAAAAGTAAATTAGAAATGGATCAAAGACCTGAATATAAGTCATGAAACTGTAAAACTCTTAGAAAAAAACATAGGCAATAATCTCTTGCACATAAACATGAGCAACTTCTTCATGAACATATCTCCCTGGGCAAGGGAAACAAAAGCAAAAATGAACAAGTGGGGCTATATCAAGCTGAAAAGCTCTGTACAGCAAAGCACACCATCAATAGAACAAAAAGGCATCCTACAGTATGGGAGAATATATTAATAAATGACAGATCCGATAAAGGGTTGACATCCAAAACATATAAAATGCTCACGCAACTAAACAAACAAAAAGCAAATAAGCCAATTAAAAAATGGGCACAGGATTTGAACAGACACTTCTGCAATGAAGAAATTTAGATGGCCAACAGGCACATGAAAAGATGCTCCACATTGCTAATCATCAGAGAAATGCAAATTAAAACCACAATGAGATATCACCTCACACCAGTAAGGATGGCCACAATCCAAGAGACAAACAACAACAAATGTTGGTGAGGTAATGGAGAAAGGGGAACCCTCCTACACTGCTGGTGGAAATGTAAATTAGTTCAACCTTTGTGGAAAGCAATGTGGGGGTTCCTCAAAAAACTCAAAATAGAAATACCATTTGACCCAGGAATTCCACTCCTAGGAATTTACCCTAAGAATGCAGCAGCCCAGTTTGAAAAAGACATATGCACCCCTATGTTTATTGCAGCACTATTTACAATAGCCAAGAAATGAGAGCAATGTAAGTGTCCATCAGTAGATGAATGGATAAAGAAGATATGGTACATATACATAATGGAATATTATTCAGCCCCAAGAAGAAAACAAATCCTACCATTTGCAACAACATGGATGCAGGTAGAGGGTATTACGTTCAGTGAAATAAGCCAGGTGGAGAAAGATTAGTATCAAATAATTTAACTCATCTGTGGAGTATAAGAACAAGCAAAAAACTGAAGGAACGAAACAGCAGCAGACTCACAGAACCCACGTATGCACTAACAGTTATGAAAGAAAAAGGGACTGGGGAGGATGGGTGGGAAGAGAAGGATAAGGGGGAAAAAGGAGCATTACGATTAGCAGACATAATGTGTGTGTGTGGGACACAGGGAAGGATGTACAACACAGAGAAGACAAGTAGTGATTCTATAGAATCTTAGTATGCTGATGGACAGTGACTGTAATGGAGTATGTGGTGGGGACTTGATAATGGGGGGAGTCTCATAACCATAATGTTGCTTGTGTAATTGTAGATTAATGATACCAAACATAAATAAATAAATAAAAAATGAACAGAAGAGATAAAATAGGTTGTATTACAAGGGAAACTAGTTATAAAGAAATAAAATTGTCAAAATATTATAAACAATAAGGCAACATATTGTGCATTTAAAAATTTTGCTTTTTAAAATAACATTAAAGAACAGGATCTAGCACCAGGTTTGATAAACACCATCATATTCTTGGTGAAGTAGGAAGCAAGTTTACTAGACAAAAAGGAGAATGGGGAAAGAGCGTGTAGAAATTTTAGGAGAGAAGAGAAAGTATGCAATCACTATTTAGGAGAGGGGAATAGGGAATGAACTAGAGTAATGCAGTTATATTTGTCTGGCAGGAACATGAGACCAATTTAATCATGCAATTAAAGCAAAACAAACCAGCATGGTATGTTTTGTCTGACCACAGTCAGCTGCCCAGGTGGGTAGCTGTGTTTAACTGGGCTGTGTTAGTCACTCACGAAGGGAGAGGGGGCCAAAGGAATTCAGGTTTGTATTAATAGAGTGATGTAATTATTGACTGTGGGATTTAAGTGGGATAAAGAGGGAAAAGAGAACCTGGGGTAAGCTGGAGGTGGTGGGGCCAGTGGACTGAAGGTTACGCTGGGGTTGAAGGATATTTCAAAGATTATTAGGGTAATGCAAGTAGGGCTATGTTGCTGGAAAGATAGGAAGTGGCAGATGGAAAGTGGGATGTTTGGAAGGGGAAATACAGAGGATAATGCACATCATTTGTGTATGTGTCTGTCTTGACATGCACAGATTCTCAAGTAGAAGCAAAATTCTTATTGTAGGGGTTACATTTTTCAGGCTGAGGTATCTTACATGTCACTTTTTGTAAGGTGTATGATTTGTACGGTGTATGATTTGATTCTGTAAATAACAAATTAATTTTAATCTACGAAAATTCACCTGGAAAAAATTGAGAACAGTATTGGATTGATAACTGGCATTCAGAAATGACCTTTCAGTTGCGCAAGAATGAAAACTTCAGGAATTCTTTTTTTTATTTTTATTTTTATTTATTTTTATTTTTTAATTTGGTATCATTAATCTACAATTACATGAAAGACATTATGTTGACTAGGCTCCCCCCTTCACTAAGTGCCCCCCACATACCCCTTCACAGTCACTGTTCATCTGCGTAGTAAGATGCTGTAAAATGACTACTTGTCTTCTCTGTGTTGCACTCAATGCTTTAGTATGTTTGTCCGATATTTGATAATCTGCAAACACATTTTTCAGCAGAGAAAATTAAAATTGTTGGTAAAACAGGAACAACAGAAGATCAGATGGAAATTAAGATGAAGCTTTTGGAAATCATAATATTAATTCAATAGAAAAAGTGGATTTGATTTACAAAAGCACAATTAAGTGCAAAGTGTTTCCATCAAGCTGTTGTAATGCTGAAATACCAAATTAGTTATTAGAGACAAACAGTTTGTAAGGTAATGCTTTTCATACCTCAGGTCCCCAGGCTTCTTCCAATGGAAGGTCTTTGTTAAGCATAGTCATTGATTTCCATGTCTGGGCTTCATTTAAACAACCACTCTGTCAAAAAATCACATATGTGTATATAAGCATTGTAATACCCATTATTCCTATGTATTTAATATATTTTAATGCTATTGAAAATTTATATTTAAAATACTTAATTATGTAAATGTTCGCTGATGTACACAGGAATCTGACTTTTGTACATTTGTATGAAGAGAGCTTCTTAACGCACTTGCTTATTAATTATAATTGTTTCACATGTTATCTGTGAATACTTTAATTTCTTCCTTTCGAAACCTATACATTTTACTTATTTTTATTGTTTATTGTTTGCCTTATTACAAAGATCAGAAGCAGTGTTATATGAACGTGGTGATAACCACCACCCTGTTTCAGTCTAGATTTTAGAGGGAAGGCTTTCAAATTTTCACCATTAAGTATGATGTTGTCTAAAGTTTTTTTTTTGTATCTACATTTGAGTAAGTTAAGGAAATTGCTATCTACTCATAACTTTCTAAGATTTACATTTAAAATTTTGTTATGTATGGATGACAATCTTTTAATCAGATGACTTCATTTACTATTATAATAATCATATGTATTTTCTTCTTTATTCTTTTACTAGAGTGGATTACTTCAGTTTTAGTTTTCAATCCCAATCTTTCATTCATGAAATAAAAAACTTGGTCTAGATGTGTGATTTTTTAATGTATTGCTGGGTTTGATTTGCTAGTACTTTGTTCAAGTGTTTTGTGGCCAGGTAATGAATGAGGTTGGTGCATAATTCTCTTTTCTTTTCGGATCCTCATAGGGTCCTCTTGGAATAACTTGGAAAGTGCTTTCTCCACCTTAATACTCTGGGAGAATTTTTATAAGGCTGAAATTAAAATTTCCATTAATGTTTGGTAGGCTTCATCAGGAAAGCCATCAGGGATTAGAGATTTCAGTTTTTTTCTTAGATGGAAGAAACTATGGTAAATTGTGTTTGTCAAAGCATTTGTCCATTGTCAAATATGTTAATATACATTTGTTCATAATAACTTCTATTATTTGGGTTGTTAAAAGGTGATATTCCAATTTTATCTTTTTTTTCATTTGTAACTGGAATAATTTTATGAAGAGATGCTTTCCTTCATCTACTATTTGGCTACCCACTGGTATAATTCATTTAAGGAAGGTAGTATAAATTGTTCTTTCTTTATTTTCCAGTTTTCAAAATAAGGAATTGGTTTCCTACCATTCTCCACAGGTGATCTTAAAAAAATAATTATGAAATTATAGATTGACATATTTAATGGACTTTAACCCATTGCAATAATTACCCTTAATGTAGATGAAGTTGTCCCATCTTTGGCCAGTTGAAACCTCTTCACGTCAACTTGTGATTACTTCTGATGTGACCCTAGTGGTCTTTGATATGTCCTAGCCATTGGATATGTCAAACTATTCCAAGCTCATGTTGTATATTTATTTCTTCCTTGCAGTCTTGGAATCAGCCATTTATCTAAGATTCCCAGTTTGGTTTTAGTGAAAAACTGTATTTCAAGACAGCAATCTGAGTACTAAGGATACTTAAGCTACTAACTAGTTGTGTTCCTGGGGATTTTAAAGGATTGAGTAAGAAAATTTATCTGTTTCTCTATATCTTCCTGTATGAACACTATATTTACACATATCCAGATCAATATCCAAAACCGGAAGAGTTCTACTGTCCTATTTAAATTCAGGATTTTTGTCTTTCTTCTATCTTACATATGTTATCTCCTTGCCTTTACATCAAAACACCTGGTGAAGAATGACAGTATTAGAATATCCTATCATTACACATTTGCTTTATTTCACATTATACACCTCTCAGCAACAGAATGACAATAGAAAGATTACTGTCACTATCATGATTACTGAAAACAGTTGTATTTTCCTCTTGCATAGCATCTTCACATTCTCCTACCATGTATTTTAATTGTACTGTATCTATATTGCCAGAGAATCAATCTATTATATACTATACTCTTTCCCTTTTAACCCATATTTTTAGGTTTCCTAAGTGACTCTACACTATAATGCTTCCCTCTAGTTCTTATGTGGATATCTCTTTAGCAATTTTGATTATCTGAAGCTTATTATTTAGTAATTCGCTCAGAGAAGGTGCATGGGAGCAATATTATCTGAGCTTTTTACATGTTGATAACAGTTTGTGCCTTTTACAGTACAGTCAGATTTGCTACATTTAAATCTTTGGCTCACATTTATTTTCATTCAGTGTTTTAAATATTTTACTCCATTTTCTCCTGCCATAAAGCATTGCTGTAAAAATATCTGATGATAATTTAATTTTACTTTCCTTATAAATTGCTTGCTCTTTAGGCTAGATGCCCACTGGGGTTGGTTGCATATATGGTATGCTCTTTCAATATTAAGCTTCACATATTTTTCTTGAGGGGGAGATGTTTTGTTGAATTATTAGTATTGGTTTTGGTACCTGTGCTCTGGGTTTCTTTCTCAGGGCTTCCATTTATCCATCTATTAGATCTTCTTTACCTGTCTTCAGTATTTGTCACTTTCAAATCCTTTTTGTCCCATTCATTTTTTTACTTGAAAAATTTTCCTCTTTTAATTTCATATATCTTTTAAGGATCTCTCTTGTTTGTAGTCAGTTTTTAAAGGCTATTTTTATTGCATATAGAATTCTAGGTTTGGAGATTATTTTCTTCTAGTAATTTAAGGATATCTGTGTTCAAAATTTCCTGGTTTTCAGTATTTCTATTGAGAAATCAGCTTTAAATCTTGGAGTTACTCTTTTGAAAGTAACATCTTTTTTGCTCTGACTATGGCTCTGACTTTTCTCCTTGTTTTGGATTTTAGAAATTTTACTCTGCTGTTTCTGGATGCAGATTACTTTTTCTGTGCCTTGACATCTTTCACCAGTTTTGGAAAATATTGCTTCTGGCCAACAATCTCCTCTCTTTTTAGGACTCCTGTTCTTAGGTCTTAGCACTGAATCTCCATTATGTTCTTTTCTTTGTTTGAAATCAGTTTATTTCTCTATGTGTAATTCTAGAAATTTCCATCTGACCTCTCTTCTAGTTGACCAATTCTCTTTTCAGCCATCACTCTAAATTGTTGAATTTCTAATTCAAGTTCTTGCCAGTTAATTTGTTTTCCTAGAAGCAGTGAATGGCTTACCTATAGTCATGGATAAGGCAGAAAGAGTGATGTTTAAAGTTGTCATAGGGGTCAACAGGGACACCACTTGGGAAAGTGACATATAAAAATGATATTATCTGAGGAATGTTTATTGAAGAAGGATCTAGGAGCATTTCATCGTGGATGTAATGGAAGTGTGGGCCAAGTGTAAGGATAGGATAGTTTAGGGATGAACCTGTGGGGAGGAAATGGATCAGGAGGAGTTACACTTTGGGCACTGAACAGGTATAGAAGGAATGTGTGGTGGGATGGATTTTGTCACATGACTGAAAAGCAACTGGTTCTTGCAGTGTTCTGGAGGGGGTAGTGGGTGGAACTCATGTCTCTGATTGGCGTTTTGGTGGGTTATATTTCTTGGAGAATTAAGGTCTCTGGTAGATGAGAAGGTTACTTTGAAAGGACTCACTCTGGTTTTGTTTGAGCATGGGATCTCTGGGGAGTCTCAGGAATCAGAGCCTCTAACTGGTCCCCATCATGATGGGACAACTTTAAGGGCAGAGTGCCAGACATGGGGGAGCATGGTGACTGGGGTGGCCAGGCCTTTCTGTTTTGAAAGGGCAGGATAAGGGGGAGTCACCAAGGAGGCCAAGGTAGACCAGTCACAGAGGACACTGGAAAACCAGGAGTGTGGGGACAATGAATTCAAGGTCAGCACTTGTGCTTGTTTTGGCACAGATGTGATGAATGTATGAAACTGAAGGCAGATCCATAAATAATCACACATTGAAGCCAGCATGGAGGGAAAAGAAAATATTCATCTATAAAGGTATCATTCCATTATAAACATTATTTTATTTTTTCTAACCCCTTTAAGTCTGCTTTATATGACAATGGTTTCTTTAGTCAAAAATGAATTTTAATAGTCACAGATGTTAATATATAGGTATTGTTTTTTTTTCTGCCCACATCTAACTGGTTATATTTTCCTTACATAGTTTATATATAGATTTAAGATAGAAAGACTTGTCTAATTGCATGCTAAATTCTATTTAAACGCAAAGACATTGTACCTTCCGCATAGTATTATTAAAGCTATAGTCATCCCTGCCGTGTATTTCCCACACGATGAAATTTACTTCAACATCTTCAACAAAGCCATTTTCATTATATCTGAAGGAGACAGCAAACACAAAAGTAATAGTTTATTGTGGAATAAAGGGCTTGAGAGCTTCAGAAGTGGCCAGCTGGAAGGTGTGGCTGAATGTCAGGATCAGCAGCCTAAGAAAGAGTGGAGGTGGGGCTGAGAGGCAGAAATAGTCCTAAAATCTGAGGAAGGGTAGTTGTGCACAGAACAGGTAGCCAGAGAACACGTGGTGATTTCTATCAGCAGCTGACCCAAGCAGCCAGTCCAACATGGAGAGGGTGTCCACTCCCCTGATGCTGGGTCTGGAGAAATATGCCCATTGAATTTAGAGTATTTACCCTAAATTCAGTGAGTTTTAACAGGGATCTGTTACATTGAATTAAGATTTATTTTTTCTGCTACTGTATGAAAATAGGAGCTTGAGATCAAAGCTAAAGTTCAGTCATTGATTAAGTCATACCTTTGCATACCAGGACTTGTGACTGTTTTAAAAATGGTTACATGGATACCAATAAATGGAAACACATCCCTTGCTCATGGATAGGAAGAATTAATATTGTAAAAATGGCCATCCTGCCTAAAGCAATCTACAGATTCAATGCAGTCCCTATCAAAATACCAACAGCATTCTTCAATGAACTAGAGCAAATAGTTCTAAAATTCATATGGAACCACAAAAGACCCTGAATAGCCAAAGCAATCCTGAAAAGGAAGAATAAAGTGGGGGGAATTACACTCCCTCACTTCAAGCTCCACTATAAAGCCACAGTAATCAAGATAATTTGGTACTGGCACAAGAACAGACCTGTAGGCCAGTGGAACAGAATAGAGAGTCCAGATATTAACCCAAACATATATGGTTAATTAATATATGATAAAGGAGCCATGGACATACAATGGGGAAGTGACAGGCTCTTCAACAGTTGGTGTTGGCAAAACTGGACAGCTACATGTAAGAGAATGAAACTGGTTATTGCCTAACTCCATACACAAAAGTAAACTCAAAATGGATCAAAGACCTGAATATAAGTCATGAAACCATAAAACTCTTAGAAAAAAACATAGGCAAAAATCTCTTGGACGTAAATATGAGCGACTTCTTCATGAACATATCTCCCTGGGCAAGGGAAACAAAAGCAAAAATGAACAAGTGGGACTATATCAAACTAAAAAGCTTCTGTACAGCAAAGAACACCATCAGTAGAACAAAAAAGACATTCTAGAGTATGGGAGAATATATTAATAAATGACATATCTGATAAGGGGTTGACATCCAAATTATATAAAGAGCTCATGCCCCTCAATAAACAAAAAGCAAATAAGCCAATTAAAAAATGGGCTGAGGAGCTGAACAGACACTTCCCAAAGAAGAAATTCAGATGGCTAACAGATGCTCCACATCGCTAATCATCAGAGAAATGCAAATTAAAAGCACAATGAGATATGACCGCACACCAGTTAGGATGGTCAACATCCAAAAGACAAACAACAAATGTTGGTGAGGATGTAGAGAAAGGGGTACACTTGTACACTGGTGGTGGGAATGTAAATTAGTTCAACCTTTGTGGAAAGCAGTATGGAGGTTCCTCAAAAAACTAAAAATAGAAATTCCACTCCTAGGAATTTACCCTAAGAATGCAGGAACCCAGTTTGAAAAAGACATATGCACCCCTATGTTTATTGCAGCACTATTTACAATAGCCAAGAAATGGAAGCAGCCTAAGTGTCCATCAATAGATGAATGGATAAAGAAGATGTGGTACATATACACAATGGAATATTATTCAGCCATAAGAAGAAAACAAATCCTACCATTTGCAGCAACATGGATGGAGCTAGAGGGTATTATGCTCAGTGAAGTGGGCCAGGTGGAGAAAGACAAGTATCAGATGATTTCACTCATCTGTGGAATATGGGAACAGGGGGAAAAAACTGAAGGAGCAGGGTGGCGGCAGACTCACAGAACCCAGGAATGGACTAACAGTTACCAAAGGGAAAGGGACTGGGGAAGATAGGTGGAAAGGGAGGGATAAGGGGGCGAAGGGGGTATTACAATTAGCACACATAATGTAGGGGGGTGGGGGATATGGGGAGGCAGTGTAGCGAGGAGAAGATGGGTGGTGATTCTATAGCATCTTACTATGCTGATGGACGGTGACTGTGATAAGGTGTGTGGTGGGGACTTCATGGTAGGGGGAGTCTAGTGGCCATGGTGTTGCTCATGTAATTGTGCATTGATAATGCCAAAAGAAAAAAAGAAAAAGAAAAAAAATGGTTACATGCCTTCTTTCTCCATCAGTTACTGCCCGTTTTTCTGAACGGAATTGTCGCCTGCACCCCTTGGATGGAAATTTCACTTAGGACCTTGGTCTCAGGCACTTGCTTCTGAGCTGCTGACTCTGGACTGTTGCCCCCGTGTCTGATACATTGTCTTGCTTCACATGTCTGTGTATTCATAAAAAATAAAAACCCTTGACAACAATCTCCTTATTCACTGCCCAGATCTGTGCCTGACTTTCCAGTCATTTATCTGGCTTTCTAGTTCTGGTACAACTTGTTACCATCCACTCCTGGTTATAAAAAAATACTGTTATTGTCTCATTCTAACAAATTGGGCAGAAAAATTTTGAGTGTCAGGAAGTAGTATCTGAGAAGCTATCTAATTTCCACCTTAGTTTTTAGAAACCATAAAGAGATGAACTCAGGTGTAACTAACCAGGGGTTAGAGTAGTGGTGCTTGGCTTCTTTCTTGGCATGGGAAGAGGTCATGGAGATCTCTAATAATTGCTCTGAACTCTCCCCACAGGAAAATACACCTGTGTGTAAGTACACATAGTTTTGTAGTTTCAGAGATTTGCATCAGGCTTTAGCAAGCTTTAATTCTTGGAGCTTTGTAAGGTGCAGCATGCTTGACTGCATCTCTTGAAAGCCATCAGATTTATGAATTATTAAGAACTATAGTTGCAAAGCCATATGTCTTATTTAAATAAAAAGGATCATAATTGAACTCTGAGCTGGTATGGTTTGACACTCACAAAAGCAATAAGCTACAGTGTCACCTAGTGGCCATAAGAGCAAATTGCATGACCCATCCTGGGTTTATGATCTTTGGTGTTCTATTTATTTCATTGAGAATATAAGACAAAAATAACTTGCCTGTGCAAGCATGGCTTATTTTCATTAATGTCAATTTATGATTTGGTTCTAATTAAACATGATAAATTCAGAAATGTCACTTGTTGGCAACTAGCTTCCCTATAGTTTGTGACTTCTCTACTATGGCAGTTGCACTTTTAAATTGGGAAGGAGAGACAGTCCTCTCTGTTCATTAAACACGTAAGGATTCAATCCTGTGTGACCAGTCTGGAGAACCCATGTGTTAACCATGTCTTTTACTTTCCATATTGTGATCCTCTAATATCTGGGGCCTTGCTGATCCTGGTCATATGCAAACCAACCACTCAGTAGCCCACACCCCTAGCCACCACCTTTCTGAGGTGGCCTAATTGCCCCACGGCCAGATACCAGGTAAACAGAAACAGTCCCTATGCCCAAGGAAATCATCCGAACTAGTCAACCCTGTCTATCCATTTCTTCCTGCAGAAACACAGTAAAGGCTGTAGGTCCTGTTTTCCCTTCACTCCCTCTCCTCCAGACTGACCCCTGTGCTTCCCCCAGTGGCCCTGTGTGGTGTGCTGTGCCTCAGACTCCTGGGATTGGTATGTGTAACAAACTTCTTCCTTCATGACAATCACTTCCATGTCTGTGTGTCTCACCATATCTGATTCAAACAAAATCTGAGTCCCCTAGAATATCCATAACCTGCTACTGAACTCCCTGCAACATAGCAGAGCCATTATGTCCTGTGTCCTCTGGGGTTGCTCCTGTGGCACCAACTCTAGTCTGGGATGTGTTGTTATGGTTATTAAGGCAGCAAAGAGGCAGCTGGGGTGGCTTATATTCCCAGTTAGATCATACTTGGAGACTCGCTTCATTCTTATTTATGTTTGATGGTGAATCTATTGTCCTCTTACCTGTAAAATTCAGTCCAATGTGTTATTGAGCCATTCTCTATAAAGGCAAATTTATTGTAATCTAGAGACCTAGTCTTTTATTTTCATTAATGTCAATTTATGATTTGGTTCTAATTAAACATGATAAATTCAGAAATGTCACTTGTTGGCAACTAGCTTCCCTATAGTTTGTGACTTCTCTACTATGGCAGTTGCACTTTTAAATTGGGAAGGAGAGACAGTCCTCTCTGTTCATTAAACACGTAAGGATTCAATCCTGTGTGACCAGTCTGGAGAACCCATGTGTTAACCATGTCTTTTACTTTCCATATTGTGATCCTCTAATATCTGGGGCCTTGCTGATCCTGGTCATATGCAAACCAACCACTCAGTAGCCCACACCCCTAGCCACCACCTTTCTGAGGTGGCCTAATTGCCCCAGGGCCAGATACCAGGTAAACAGAAACAGTCCCTATGCCCAAGGAAATCATCCGAACTAGTCAACCCTGTCTATCCATTTCTTCCTGCAGAAACACAGTAAAGGCTGTAGGTCCTGTTTTCCCTTCACTCCCTCTCCTCCAGACTGACCCCTGTGCTTCCCCCAGTGGCCCTGTGTGGTGTGCTGTGCCTCAGACTCCTGGGATTGGTATGTGTAACAAACTTCTTCCTTCATGACAATCACTTCCATGTCTGTGTGTCTCACCATATCTGATTCAAACAAAATCTGAGTCCCCTAGAATATCCATAACCTGCTACTGAACTCCCTGCAACATAGCAGAGCCATTATGTCCTGTGTCCTCTGGGGTTGCTCCTGTGGCACCAACTCTAGTCTGGGATGTGTTGTTATGGTTATTAAGGCAGCAAAGAGGCAGCTGGGGTGGCTTATATTCCCAGTTAGATCATACTTGGAGACTCGCTTCATTCTTATTTATGTTTGATGGTGAATCTATTGTCCTCTTACCTGTAAAATTCAGTCCAATGTGTTATTGAGCCATTCTCTATAAAGGCAAATT